ACCCCCCGCGGCTCCGGCTCCACCCCCACCGCCCACGCACGACACGCACGCTTTCTCAGCCTCCTCCTCCTCCCACCGCCGTGTTTTTGTTTGGGAAGGGAGGAGGAGGCAGAGAGCGATGAACGGGGAGAGAGGGAGGAAGCCAGGACCCTTCGGGTTGGAGTTTTACGATTGCTGCTGCGGCGGTAGAGGAAGAGGAGTAGGCCCTGGCCCTCTTACCACCGCCACAGCAGCGTAGGCGGTGGTTGGGGAGGGTGAGGAGGTGGTAGTAGGTCCGGAAGGATGGGTGGGTGAAGGAGAGTGACAAGGCAGATCGGGGAGGAAGAGGGGGCGGGGGGTGGGGGTCCCACCGGAAGCCACCCCCAAGAGCTACTCACCTTTTCGCTAGAGGAAGAGAGTGCGGCAGCCCCTCGCGAACCCACAGACGGGACGGCACAAGACTTACCGCACAAGCCTGGACAGGCGAGACTCGAGTAGTGTCCATACAAAGACCGGGTGCCGGGAGATAAAGAGAGAGACCTATGGTTGAATTGGGGACCATCTATTTCAGTTAACAACCACCATCAACACACCAACACAACAATCATAAGGCTTGGCATTCGAGCTGGCTGAATAACCCCGCTCACTCGGGTGGTTATGCTCTACCCAATGCAACGGGGCCGTAAGCCGTAAGGCACCGTTGTCAGCGACGATAGGCAAACCCGCACGCACGCTTGCATGCGATATAGCATGACTACCAAACTGGGCGTGAATAATCAGCCAACTCGTATTTTGACATATTATTTTTAGCATCTTAGAAATACAATTTCAAAATCAAACCTAAATTTCAATCAATGATATTTATAAGAGAGTAGTAAGTACATTATCTGTTTCTCAAATATGTCTTGTATCCAATCAAAATCACAGCAGTTAGCATTTAACCCACAACTATAACATATTCTCATTTTCAACAGTCTGTAATGGGATGGCACTTTAAAAAGTTATTCTACAACAGGAGGAAAGAAATAGACCAAATAAAGGAAGACAAAAATTATAGAAACTTGTCACAAAAGAGAAAATGAGATAGATACTAAGTACTACAATGAAATATTTACTATAAAAATTAGTTGGTTCACAGCATATTCGTTGATTACTAACACAAGAAACAATTGTTTAGCTAATAAAAGTAAATATCCACCTAAGTAAATACCTAGACATAACAAGTCTTTTTGATATTCAACCATTGGAATCTTCATTTATGCCACCTAAGCAGTGGGGTTATAACGTGGTTTCAGATTAGCTGCTTCATCCAAAGACTCAGAGCCTGAAAGAAAAGGGGAGGGCTTACTATAATGTTCCTTAAACAGAAGTGCACTAGATACCTAGGTTATTATTTTACAACTTACCAGAGCTGCAATGAACAATATAGTAGTAGGTGTCACCGTTGGCATCCTTGATTTTCCTTACCCTACCCTGGCTGTTCGATGAAAATGAACACTCATTTTCCAAACACAAACCTGCAATAAAGTATTTTTACCACAAATAAATACTCAAGGAACATTTTGTATGAGCTAGTATAGAAACATTTTCATGAGACTTACTAGAATACAAATCACTTTCTTCTGAGCCCTCAATCAAATCCTCACTAACGTTAGGAGATGGGGAGGAGGAGGATGACGATAAATCCAACCAATCCAAATGGCTCAGATAAGTGTACGGTTCTTGGAACCTTACACCAGCTTGAGTGTCTTTATCCTTCCTAGCAGATGCACCAATCATTTCAAGAAATTCTTCTGTTGAATCTTGAATTTTGTTGTACTGCTGGGGTCTTTGCTGAGAGTCCACTCCATCAATAATTTGAAGGGCATCTTTTGCCTCTTGCAAGCCCAAGCTTGATGCCATGACTAAAAGTTCGCGAGCTCTATTTTGATCTTCACATAAGCCACCCCAACCATTAGCAAGGAAGACAGCAAGATTAAACATGGCTGTAGGATGTCCACGGTCACTTCCTATTTTGTACCATTTTGCAGCCTACAGAGAGAAAACTTTCACTTGTTAATTATAAACAATTATGTAAAAGAATTTTTGTAAAACATTCTAAAGATTTACCTTTTTTAAGTTTTGAGGTGTTCCCAAACCCAACTCATAACATTGACCTAAGTTGTAAGCAGCAATTGCATGCTCATGGTGTGAAGCCCTTCGGAAGTGCTTCATGGCCTCATTATGTTGACCTTTTCCCATGCAGACCATTCCCAGTTTGTTTTCAACATCACCTGATAAGGCTCGGCTTGCTGCCTCAAACACGCGTGAGACTTCATTCAATGCCTGGAATTTACAATGGATGCTTAAATACCTTGACAAGTCTTGCCATATACCATACCAGTATTTTTAATCTCTTACTTCCTCAGGTGTGAAGGGGCCTCTTTGATGAGCAAACACATCATCAATATCACTGGATGAGGATGTAAAACTGCTATGAAAGCTGTTTGAAGTGCTTTTTTCCTCAATTGATGAACTATAGCTCAATGGTCGAATTGAGAAAGGTTGGATGGGTGATTGAGCATCTACTGTTCGTCCAATAGAAAAGTGCCGGGGAGAATGCACTCTTACTTCCCTGAAGTGAGAATCACCGAATATTCGCTTACCAAGTGGATGGCTCAGATACCAACCAAGAACCAAGGCAGTGCTCTGAAAGTAATAAAGCATGATTTGAAAGAGTGCTGATTAAAAGTTTTGGCAGAAAAATGTAATAAACTACCACAAATACATACCCATCCCATTGCACCCAAACAAGCATTAATAGGAGGGTCATTCCACCGAGCATGATTTTTATTTTTTTGTTGGTGGCGCTCTCTGGTCTGTTCATGACTAGTTTCTTTATGCTTGAACGATCGTAGGTGTTTGAGAGGACAATAGGTTTTCAGTTGTGGAATCAAGTTTGTTATCTGACCATGGCAAGACAACCTGCCACGAGTTGCATCTGGTCTATTCCTGTTTGGTGCATCACTTCTGAATGCTGTAAAACCAACACGTCTCTCAACTACCTCACACACTGAGCGTGAGATTGCCTTCCACATGTTTGTTGATATTAAAATATGATCTGAAATGAAACATAAAATAATACAATTGACAGCATAAATATTATTTCTGAACTTAAACCTTCACATGAGTCAATCCAACTTTCAAGGATTTGAAACAGAAACGCGTAATCCAGTTAGTGAAACTGGTATTCTTTGTCCGACAGTACAGTTAGGCTGAGATATCAATGAAATGAATTTTTATCTGAAAAACTAACCTTTCTAGGAATCTGGTGGTGGTGGTGGTGTATCCAGGATCTATGTTTACGTTTTACCTTGTCACTAAAACAATTATTAATGTCATTTGACACCAGAAAGGATTTAACATCATAGTACTGTCACTCTTGGAGAGAGACAACTACTTTATGAACTGTAAATATAGGAAATATACAGCAGATGGGTCAGAAGATAAGCACAGTAACACAAACAAACCAGGAACACCTGCAAGGTTAGCAGAAAATAGACAAGTGAGCAGCGTAATAGATCGTTTGCAGTATGAAAACCTTGACTGTTGAGGCACACGATCGTTTGATGTGATGGATTTTGTTAAACTACAAAAGTTTATGGTTTAAAACTAGAGATTCAGTGTACGGGAATGTTTCATTTTCTTGAATTTCATTTTTATCATCTTCACTTTCAGCTCTCTTTTTTTTACACCCTAACAATTTTCACTTTGCTTTGTTGGTATACAGACGAACATTTCGCGCCTGTTCCGGTGGCAGGAAGCCGTACCGTACACAAAGCACTCACTCGTATTTTGGAGGCGAGGGTTTAGGACGCGCACCAGAAGTGTCGGTGAAAGATTGTTGTTGCCTGAGCGCTCTTCGCCGTTGTCTCTGAGCAACGTGGGATTTTCTTCTTCCCCCGCACAGTGCCTCTTCTCAGGCCAATTTAACTATGAGTGACGATTTACCGTATCGGGCAGAATATGCCAAAAGCGGTCGGGCCGGCTGTAAGACCTGTAAGGGCAATATTGCCAAAGACGTTCTTAGGATGGCTGTTATGGTCCAGGTAACTTGTTGAATATTACCTGTTCATCAGCCGTAAAACTTGCGTGGCGCCTCCCATCATTATTTTTACTTGTTATGTATCTGTCAGTCCATCACTTCGCTAAAAGTGGACGAATTATACTAGAGCTAGAATTCTATCCACGAAGTTGATACTAAACGGTCATAAACAATTCGGTTACCGTGTATCAGCATTTGTTTAATTGTGTTCTATTTAACGTTTTAACGTTCAATGTATCATTAAAAATTCATCTAGCAATGATGCATTGTTCTTTTCTTGTTTTGAAAGGTTAGATTGCCACAGTCACAAGGTTGTCCTCTTACAAGCACTAAATGACTCCCCACTCACTATAATCTAATACTTTAGTGTGCTTTAATTTGGTTAAATGTCGTAACTCACCCATTTAACTCAATTTTCAGTCACCTATGTTTGATGGGAAAGTACCTCATTGGTACCATTACAAGTGCTTCTTTGTCAAGCAACGTCCAAAATCTGTTGGTGATATTGCACATTACGATTCCCTCAGGTGGGAGGACCAAGAGAAAATCAAAAACGACATAGGTTAGTGATTTCAATTTGTCTTTATAGTAATTTAACATTGTACACTGGAAATTCATTTAGCCCAGCTAGTACAAGCTGTTTTAAAATCTCATGTCAAAGGGATTGAAGGCATACTGGATCTTATTTCTTTTCTTGAGGAAATTTCTTTGTTACTGATAAGAACATTCCTTTCTCATAATTCAGATAGCTATGGGGGAGCAGCTGGCGCATTTGCCTCTCCAGCAGCTAGCGGTAAAGGGAAAGGGAAAAAACGTGGTGCTGCTGGTGCTGTGGATAGTCTTAAAGATTTCTGTGTTGAGTATGCAAAATCTGGAAGAGCAACATGTCGAGGATGTGAACAAAAGATTTTGAAGGTATGGAGACTTAAGACACTTTTCTTGTAAGGAAATGCCTATTTTTTTTTACTATCTCTTCTTCCCAGGATGAGGTTCGCATCTCTAAGAAGGACTATGAAAGTGATGTCGGGAAAAGATATGGTGGCCAAGATCTCTGGCACCATCTGGATTGCTTTGAAAAACTTCGAGATGAATTAAAATATTGGAATGCCGGGTCTGAGCTTCCGGGTATCCAAACACTAACAGCAGAAGATCAAAAACTAATCAAGGAGAAATTACCCAAAGTTACCCCGTAAGTGCTCAAGTTTGGACTCATTGAGGCTCCTTTCTCTTGATAATCTTTAAGGAATCTTTTCTGTTTCTAAGTAAGTTTGTTTCCAAAATGCAGGAAAGAAGGGAAAGATGGGGTTGATGGGGAAACCCCTGCAAAGAAAATAAAGAGTGAAGAGCTAGGCAAAGATGAAGAAGAAGGTATGAAAAAGCAAAACAAAACTATGTTTGGGTATCGAGATAAACTGAAAAGTCAATTAAAGAAAAAGGATCTTGAAAGGTTACTTCAGCATAATAGGCAAGAAGTACCATCAGGCGAAGAAAGGGTAAACAGAGTTTAAACTATTAAGATATTTCTTACATCAGTTCTCTAATCGTTAAGCATTGATTTTAATATTTTTGGAGTTTTGTTTCACAGATGTTGGACAGACTTGCTGATATTATGACATTTGGAAAACTTCTTCCTTGTCCAGAATGCAAAGATGGCCAGTTTGTATTTCGCTCTGGTGTTGGGTACCAGTGTCAGGGAAATATTTCTGAGTGGGCTAAATGTGAAAATAAAACATTAGAACCACCACGTGGTCCATTTAAAGTTCCTTCAGACATGAAGGAAAAGTCACCATTTTTGTAAGTTCATGTGGTACTTTCTGTCAAAACTGAAGTTAAATTTATGTACTGTATCATCCATTTAATTTTACATGATTTTATGCTCTACAGAGAGAGCTACAAGTACAAGCCAAATAAGCGTATTATCAAAATAACTGCACCCACAGCACTACCAGCCTCTGTCACCTCTCATCTTCCAAACTTCCCAGTGAAGTCTGAGCCTGGAGCTGAGGGAAAATCAATGTGAGCTGGGGCCTATTTGCCTCTTCAATTTTTCTTCTTCTCCATCAGTAAATTACAACATGTGCTATAACTTAAATTATCTTATTTCGAAACAGGCCAAAAATAAATCGACCAGCACCTCCATTCAGCAACTTGGAATTTGTTATTCAAGGCAAACTTGAAACTGATAAAAATGAATTAAAAAATAAAATTGTCAAGAATGGTGGCAAAGTTGGCACTAAAGTTCACTCTAAAACTTTTGCTGTTATATCCACTGAAGGTAATTCAATTTGGCTTTGCTTTCTTTGACATTTATCTACACTGTACTTCTCCATCAAATTGATTTACATTCCTTTTACCTTTAGCTGAAGTAGAGCGTATGGGATCTCGTATAGAACAAGCGAAGGATGAAGATATACATGTGGTTTCTGAGGACTTTGTACAAGCTGTACTAGATGGAGAAACAGCACTTAGTGCCATAAAAAAGAAGTGCATTTCATCCTGGGGTGGAGATGTAAGTAGTATGTTTTATTTTCTAATCTTTTATTTTAAGGGCAGTTGTCTTTAACATCTTTCTGTCGTTTGACCTTAGCCAAAATTAAGAATTCCGGAAAAGACAGAATCCTCTAAGTCACGGAGTGGAAGTAAGTTCTATCAGGTTATTTCTGTGTACATAGTGATTCCTGGTCTTCATAATGTTAATTGAAACTCTCTTTCCGTTATGGTGTCTTAGGTATGTTTAAGAGCAAGTCAGGAACTGTGAAACTGAAGTTAAAGGATGGATCGGCTGTTGATCCTGATTCAGGTCTTGAAGAAAAAGCTCATGTGTACAAGGCGGGCAAAGATATTTACAATGCTGCTCTTTGTATTACCGATGTTCAGAGTGACAAAAATAGTTATTACAAACTTCAGTTGTTAGAATCAGACAAAGGAAAACAGTGAGAAACATCCTTTTTTGGAGCATGTGGTTATTATTGTAGACTGTATTGTTGACTGGTAATTTCTTATCTGCATTTAGACACTGGCTGTTCCGTGCGTGGGGCAGAATTGGCACAACCATCGGGGGCAATAAACTACAATCAATGTCTTTAGAAGAAGCTATTCAACAATTTGAAGATCTTTATCAAGAGAAGAGTGGAAATATGTGGGCTCATCGTCATCACTTTGTAAAAGTTCCTGGGAGAATGTATCCCATGGAAGTGGATTATGGTGTAAGTATTCATTGGTACTTAAATTTCATCAAATCCTTATGGAATACGAATTGACAGTTTCTTTAATTCTTAGGATGACAAACCGAAAGGGCTTGGTGTTGCTCGAGGTGATGTGAAATCAAAGTTGGCAAAACCAATTCAAGATCTTATTACTACCATTTTTGATGTTGAAAAAATGAAGAAATGTATGATGGAGTTTGAGGTCTGTCTCCTATTTAATCATGTCTTTTTAGTGAAAGTAAGATTTTCAACTTCTGTCAGTGCTAATAGTATTTTTGTGTGTAGTTGGACTTGCAAAAAATGCCCCTGGGTAAGCTCAGCCAGCGCCAATTGTTGGAAGCGTATTCTGTATTGAAAGAAGCACTTGAATTAGTGCAAAGGGATGCCAAGGAAGATGTTAAGTCTGTTAATTCTCGTTCAAAGTACATAGAGGTAACCAACAGGTTCTTCACCTTGGTACCTCATGACTTTGGAACAGACATGCCTCCTATTCTGAACACAGAGGAACTCATAAAGGTATTTAATGGGAGAGGCAGGGGTTAATCCATTGTTAAGAACATCTCAGTAATTGTTAATAACCATGCATTGTGTGTAATTCTCAGCAAAAAATGGAAGTCATAGACAACTTGCTTGAGATTGAAATAGCTTACAACTTGTTGGAGAGTGGTTCAGGTGATGATAGTGTTCATCCGATTGATAGTCAGTATCAGAAACTAAAGGCAGACATAGAAGTACTGAGCAAGGAAAGTGATGAATTTGCATTACTTCAGAAATATGTCAAAAATACTCATGGTGCTACTCACACTAACTTCTCTCTTGACATTGATGAGGTAAAGATATCCACTAGTACATTTAATTTTTAGTCATTGGTTAAAAGTAGAGAAAATGGCTGATTCCCCCTCTTTTGCAGGTGTTCAAAGTTCGTAGGCATGGAGAAGAGCGCAAGTTCAAGCCTTTCAAAAAGCTGCACAACAGAAAACTTTTATGGCATGGATCACGTCTTACAAATTATGCTGGTATCCTGTCTCAGGTAATATAATTGACAAACCTTAATCTTCCAATTTAATTTCTCCTGTAGAGTGATATTATTAATTATTTTATTAATTTCAGGGTCTGAGAATTGCACCACCCGAAGCACCTGTCACTGGTTACATGTTTGGTAAAGGTATTTACTTTGCTGACATGGTTTCCAAGTCAGCAAATTACTGCAGCACAACAAAGTCAAACCCTATTGGTTACATGTTGTTGTGTGAGGTTGCTCTTGGTAATATGTAAGTAAAGGGATCAATCCCATTTTTTCCATTTTTTTTGTCCAACTTTTTCCTGATAGGTTACAATTAAATTGAAATCTGTGTGCAGGTATGAACGAACTCGTGCTGATTACATTGAAAAGCTTCCCAAGGGCATGCACAGTTGCAAAGGTATTGGCAAAACTGAACCAGATCCGAAACAAACAATCAAAACTGATGATGGTGTCGAGATTCCTCTTGGAGAAGGCATTACTGATATTGACACGGATTCGACACTACTCTACAACGAGTATCCTTTATGTTCTGATTTTTGTGAAGATTTCTTCCAAGTGCTGTCCATTTGTTCTTGAATATTCATTTTATTGCTTTTTATTATTGCCTTTGTTGTACAGCAGCTGTCCAAGTTGAGGTGAATTATTCCTTATCCAGTTTTCAGATATATTGTCTATGATACTGCCCAGGTCAAGTTCCAGTACTTGTTCAAGATGAAATTCAACTATACTTAAGCATGAAGAAAACCTTCAAAAGTGAGTGGGTACAAATTCCCCCAAGAACTTGTGCAGTGTGCTATTCCTTATCATTGATATTTATTTTCTCTTGTCTGTTGCAGTTCTTTCTGGATTATTTATGGTGAGGATTTATAGGTGTATTACATGATGCCACTAGATCTGTTGAAAGAAAAATGACTCAACCATCGTTCTATCTTACCATTTAGTTTTAGTTTTGACAAAATCGAACATTTGTAACGTTCTCTATCCAGTGAATTATAAGTTTCTCTAAATCTAATTTCTTATTGTGCCCCCCCCCCTCCCCAACAAAAAATAATAAAATATTTTCCGAGTATAGCTGGAGTAAGTTAGTTTTGCTCACTATACATACTGAGTCTGACTGAAGTATTGTAAGGTGTGGTGGGGAAACAGGCAGCTGCATCTTTTTTTTTTTTCCAGTGAGATTTATGAGGCTTTTTTTTTTTATGTTAAGACAACTTTTAGCTGTCAAAGCTGGTAATTATTTTTTTCAAACCTATCTTGTCTATGAGAAATTACCAATTTTGAGGTACAATGATCATGTTTCGATCATGAACATATGCATTCAATTTAAGAAGTGTACATATGTTCCCAGAATGGCAACACAAGAAAAGTATAAAGTGTGCATTTGTTAAGAATTGTTATCAACGTTAAGTAATTAATCAATACAATTAGCTTTGAAGTTAGCTTTAAAATTAGGTCCTAATCTTGCAGTATAATTGTTGGAGGAGACTGACTGTTGGCTGCCGCCGAACCAACCTGACAGCAGACGACAGAACAGCTGACTTGCGTTGCCCGCGTCGTGCCCTAATGAATGGGTTATGAAAGGTTAAAAGGATTTAAGTATATCATGAATGTGAACGTCACGAGAGAAAGGGTCGGTACGGAGCTTGCGATGGTACTCGTAACGAGCTCATTTACCCTGTTTGTAATCCGGACTCGCCTGTCTTCCTTCAGGTGATGTTGAGTTTCGGTGTATGTATGTTCGGTGGGTTAGGCTTGTCAAAACACGATAAAGGAATGAAGTTGATAACAGATAACACACGCAATGTCATATGACACTTTACCATAAATGTCAGCTGTGAGGAGCCCGTTAATTGTGATTGGAATCATCTGCTCCACAATAACATTACTCAAACCTGTATGTGGAAATGCCCGAAGGGTACGGTGCCCTTTGGTACCTCTGCATCCTGGGCTTCTTCAAAGAATTTAGACCATCTGAATCTTTTCTGACACAATATCTTGTAGGAAGCTGGAAGAAACTGACCCAAGAAGAGGTATAAATAAAAATATAAACATGATACATATCATAGCAAAACATTGCCCTAAAAAATAATGTGATTTTTTTTATGTTTACTTTTTTCGTCAGGTTAATCAAGAGATTTACCCAATAGGCACATATTCAACACTGGTGCTATTGATAGTTGTGTTTCTAATTACTGATGTAGTATGTTATAAACCTATCATAATTGTTCACAGTCTTGCAGGGGTAGCATGTTACTGCCTTATCACATTTGGCACATCAAAAGACTTTGTTCAGGTATATCTTAAGATTAATTTTTTTTATTGTCATACACATATGGTCAGTAACTGAACGCTGTCTTTATAAATTTCTCACAGGCTGCCGAAGTTTTTTATGGCCTTTTTCTGGCGTCAGAGGTTGCATATTCCACTTATATGTATGCATCTTGTGAAAAGGATTTATATCAGAAAGTAACAAGTTACACACGAATAGCTCTTCAGACTGGACGTCTCGTATCTGGCTCAGTTGCACAATTTCTTATAAGTTGTAATGTTTTGGATTTACATGAACTCAACTACTTGTCTTTGACAGGTTTGTCTTTCTAATGCTTTTTTTATTTTTATTATTAAGAGCTTACTAAATATCTACATCCTATTCTAGGTTTAGGAATCGCAGCATTATTTGGTTGTATGCTGCCTTCAACTAGCAAAAGTTTATATTTTCACCGAATAGGGTCAGAAAAAGTTGACAGTGCTGTAGAAACCCCGTCTAATAGCAATTACAGTGCACCTCCCAATGCGTCTGCCACAGAGGACATTTTACTAAGTACTGAGTATTTAGAAGCAGTGAGATATAACCCCAAGAAAGAAGATTATGTGATATCTAACACAGATAATGAAGATTATGAGCAGCTCTCTGGTTTCCAAAAAATATGGAGTGATTTTCTGCATGCCTATTCAAACATGTATATTGTTAAATGGTCAATATGGTGGGCCCTAACTAACTGTGGTTACTTACAGGTTTGTAGATTTTGGTTGTAAACTATCAAGTCATATTAAACCGAATTGAAACTATATTTTCAAACAATTGTTTTTCTATATCTAATAAATATGTGTATATTCTGCATATAGGTCACTGCGTATATTCAAAACTTGTGGCAAGATACAGTAGAATTAACCAAAGAGCCTTTGTACAATGGTGCCGCAAGTGCAACTTACACTATATTAAGTGAGTTCCCAACAGCAAGTACTCTCGGAGTACATATGATGATGTATTTTTTTTTACAGAATTCTTTATTAACTTACTTTTTTATGTAACTGCTTGAAAGGTATTGTGGCATCATGGACTGTGGGTCAATTACAATTTGACTTTGATGGGAAAAAAAGTCAGTGGCTGCTTTCTATTTGTGCTTCACTTTCAGGAGGCCTGCTCTTACTGTTAGCCTTATCCAAATATCTTCATTTTCAATATATAGCCTATGGCATCTTCAAAATATTCTACCAAGTATCGATGATTTTTGCAAAGTATGTGTTACACCATTGTTTCCTTTCCATTCTGAATTTCAATCAAATTAATACTTGGGGTATTTCCTGATTTTGTTCCAGTTCAGAGGTTGCTAAATCATTGACCAGAGACTCACATGGCCTTGTGTTTGGTTTCAATACATTTATTGCTCTTATTCTGCAGTCTCTCTTAACAGTGACTGTGGCTGGGAAAGGAGGGTTTCAACTTTCAACACGTTTGCAGGTTTGTAAATTAGTAATCTGCTTCCAAGCAGAAGATTGTTTTCCCCAAAGTTTTCATCTAGTTACCTCTGATTTCTTTTCAGTTTTTGGTTTATGGTGGCTACTACATAGCTATTGGTTGTGGTTTTGGATTGATTGCAATAGCTAATAGCATCCAAGGGTGCCACCAAACTATTCGCAATGTACCTACAGGGGAATGACCTTGAACTGGATTTGGGACGGTGATTGTTATTTAGTGCATTTACCTGAAAAGAAGTCATATTCTCCAGAGATGTCCTCCTTAATGAATAGATGTCAATCATTTCTAAAAGACAGATGGATGCTGTGGTGAGGTAAAGACAAGTTTGAAGATCTTCTAGTCATAGTTCATGGCTTAGCTCTATGAGTTGATGTATAGTCAGCGTGGCTAAGATTAAGGATGACTGAATTGTTTTAATCTCAAATTCCTATGTAATCTATGGTAAAAATAATATTTTTATATGAAGTTAATACCAAATGTGAAGTGACAAAACTGTCAATTATCTTTAAAATATAAAATTTATAACACATTTTCTTGAAAGGCCAATAATTTATTTTCATCAAAACATTGTTTCCATAAAGCCACATAGCTTTCTGTCTACTATTTAGCTTCATAAGGTAGTAATAAAAACAAAATATACAGGAATATCTCTTCAAGACTTATGTACAAGTGGAAAAGTTTCCAAAATTACAGGCAAGCTTGAAACATAAGGAAGGAAAACACAAGGTAAACATCAACACAAGACTAGTATGTTTAGTTCACCTTATGCCCACTAGAAACAATAGAAAACTCCTCACTTTTAGGAAGTCAATCGCTCCACAGGTGAGAATAAATTTGTGTAAATTCCACCTAAAGAATCATAGAATTATTAATAATGACAATTTTCCACATGCCATGAAATATCAATATATAGAGTAAGCTATCTATTTTAGCTAAATCTCATCAGCTGATAAGTTATTTCAATATTGCCAGAGGCAGTCTAGTCAAAAATGATGTCACAATTTTAAAAGAAAATGTAACAACCATGTAACACAGGTTTACCTTAAGGACAACCAGTTTTAGAAAGTTACTTGTTAACTATATTCCAGTGTGTGAGTTTTGATCCATAAATGGTGGAGTATAGTGAACAAAATTTCCAGTCATTAACATTGTGTTACATAACAGTTGGTTAAATAAGTAGCAATACTTGACCTATAAATATTAAGCTGAGTACCTACACATATTTTATTGAAGCTGATGGCTTACGGAGGGGGCCAGCTAATCACTTTACGGCCCTGAATAGAACCATACTCTCAACTCTGGTCAATATTCTCAGTGTAATAATACTAATCACAGATTTTCAATGTAGTACTCTTAAAAATACTTCTGATGGAATCAGATCATGTTGAAGAAAGAGGTTTTGATTCAGAAATTTACCATTACAGGGTATATTATACATAACAACACTACAAATGTGACAAGCAATATAGTTCTTTCTCAACATTCTAAAGTTTACTTTGTGACTAGACAGAAAATGTAGTATTCAAATACAAAGAGATCTTCACCTGGGAAAAAGGAAGTAACAAATTGTAAACACAGCTTGTCATGAACATCAAGCTCACAGTAATTACTGTGTGTTTTGTTTATTTAAAAAACAAACATGAACCACCTAAATTTGTCCCTTAACGTAAGAGAGATTCATTGGGAAATATGTTAAAAAGAGAAAAAATGAGCATGTTATGAGAAATGATTACATGCTACCAAAGTCGCTGGTAGAATGAACCGCAAATTCTAATATTGATTCAGAAAGACTGAATTCAACTTAAGTTGAAAAGAAATTCTAGGTATGGCAAATTGAAACTAACTAAATGTGTCCAGACTAACCGAGACAATGAACTAGAATTTTTGAGGGTATAATTAAATTTTTTTTTCGCTTTTTTATAAAACAAATAATCACAGCATGTTTTCTGACTAGACAAGCACAATGTTCATCAATCAGTACGTTCAATATTCCAAATCTATGCCACGAAAGCCATTTAGGATACTTTTTTAACAAATGGTAAAATAATAGGGGAAAGAGGAACCACCTTCGAATTCTATATCTTTTGTTGAGACTGCATATGAAGAGAAGTTTTACACATCACAATTTGATTTTTTTTTTAGGGGGGGTATTAAACTGTAGAAATTAGGAGTTCCCAAAACGCGAGCGCGATTTTCACGCAAGGCATGACTTTCACTTCACACAGCGAATGAGGGGCTGACTTTTGTCGTGAAAATCGCGCTCGTGTCTTGGGAACTCTGAATCCCCCCGTACAAAAAAAAACAGGTCTTCACACACACACACCCTCAGTAGCTTTAAACCCTGCCTTCGTTTAGAGCAATGGAAAATTGCATTCTCCAGACAGAAGTTTATTGATGTATTCTCTCTGAACTTACTATAGGAAAACATGATAAGTGCAGATATTTTATACTATTTCTCTTTTCCCATATGCGTGTAAGCGTGGCAGAAATTTTAATGAGATAAACAGACACACATGAACAAAATCTAATATTGACATTAGTCAAAACAATTTAACTTTGTAGAGTGACTAGTTATTGACTGAGCAAAACATGATAAAGGTAATGCTTCAAAGTTGTCAAAACTTATACATATATCATTAACAAAATCAATTGATTTTGACAATATTCAGATAGAAACAAAAACAAGAGAAAAAGCAAGGCTGAGAGTCTTCTTTAGGAAAGTGGAAGAGGACTCTCAGTTTTACAGGGCATAAATGGCTACTTAATTATGTATTTGAGAAGGGATAATTGCAAATCAGGCTAGTTATTACCAATTACAAAGTCTCAAACTCAGTGCAGAATCAATTGTCAAAAGGTAAAACCTCGACACCAAATGACTTTTTTTTTTGAGGGGGGGGG